CACTTGAACATTGGACATGCATTTTCTTATCATTTTAAAAATAATTGATAAATATATTCTACTTATTTTTTTATAGGCAAAGGCAAAGGAAAAAAATAAAGCAATATCAAAGGAAATAGAAAAGACTACCCCTTCTGGCAAAAGAAAGGAAAATGCATATCCCATGGTATGGTTTCTCAACAATTTTTAAAAGTTTCTTTTTCGAATATTATATAAAAAAATTTATATGAATTTTTTTAGGAATTGCATAATATCATATACTATTTTTTATGTACATTTTTTAAAAGTTTCTTTTTCAAATATTTATTCAATTCTTTTTATTGAATGTGAAATGTTTTTCTGAAGCATCTTAAAGTAAGCATTTGTACAACATGCTAATGCATTTGTATGAACATTAATTTGAAATTTTAATATGTTTGTCTATTTGTATGAACACATGTTGCATTTACAACATAACATAATAAAAATATAAAAGAAGAATAAGGAACAAATATGTGAAGTTCTTATAAGAAGTTCTTAAGGAAAGAAGAAAAAGACAAAAATAAATTTAATATAACGGAAAGAACAAGAAGAGTGAAAAGGAAAGTAGAAAACATTACACGCTAATATTCACATTTTACATACCCAATGATCTAATATTTACCTTTTCAACGTACAGTTTGTAAAGAGATGGGTTGTGTTTTTAAACCAATAAGTGCATAGTGAGTCTCAGTTTTGTGTGCTTAATGTGTTTTCAAATTATTTTTTCCTCTCTTTTTAAATTTCATCAATACATGCATTGGTTCTTATATGACTAACAACTCAACCGAATAAAGAGGAAAAGTTAGTTAAAAGAAAGAAAAAATACATGATGAAAGGGAAGCAAGAGAGGGGATAATCTTTACATTTTATGTACCTACTTACATGATATTCTCATTTTAGGCACACAGTGATAATGTGTTATCAAAAGCTGCATTGGCCCAACGTGCACGGCGAGAACGAGAAAAAAATCAAAAGCCATGTTTTGCATACCAATTAGGACAATGCTTGCGACGAGAGCGAGAAAGATCAAAGGAATGTATTAACCCAAGACAACCTTCTTTAACACCAAATTGGTAAACAACTATGTTTAATTCTTAAAATATATACTATTACTAT